AAATAAAAACTGCAAGTGTAATGAGATAAAATAAAATATTATGGGATAATAAAATTAATAGATATTGTAGAAGTAAATAATTTTATAGCGCAAACACTGTAATTTTGATAAGTGAAATATGAAAGCTCTTCTAGTACTAATAAATATGAAGTTTTTCTAAATCACAGTTTCCGGATGAGGCACACAAATATAAATCTGCTTTTCTCAAAAAAAATCGGAACTTTACGCATGCTGTCTTCCAGGTCGTCAAACGGGAAGCCAACCTTTATTCGATTTGGAAAGCGTGCGAAACCTACTTTCATTCGATTTGGACGATCGGGGCCGCTCAGCGGACTTGAAAATCAGGATCTTGAAGTCGCGTAAATCATCATAATATCGTGAAACATCTTTTACAGAACATCTACATAATGCCCTTATTATCGTTACATGTCATGTCTGTTGGTCTCACTGGGTGATCTCAATGCAGTTACTGCATTTGCCATATGAAGTTAATTAATGTTTGTAGTGGAAGTATTTATGAAGGATGATTTATTAATCAATACTAACACCATCATACTGCAATATATCATGTTGACAATTTGTGATTAGTCAGATTGAATACAGCCAATCACGTTTGTGGTACTCTCCTTTTGAGTTTATAAAGGAAATAATCAAAAACTCGCATTTCATATGGCGAGAGATGGTGAAATCCAATCATTTCCGGGCTGAAATTCTTCGCTCCCTGAAAAGTGCGATTGCATGATCGTCTATCAGACTATATATGTGCGTGTCTATTAAATAAGGACCCATGATGAAAGGGGTCTGCGAATTGCTATAAAATATGGTTGATAAAACTATTAATCACCTTAAGAGGTGGATAGTAGGCGTTTTTTCGTGCGAATGGATCTTTGTACATGACTAACTGCTCTGTGGGGTGAAAATGATGAAACCTGAAAAAATTATGCCGATGGCTGCATTAAGAATTAAAATATACGAGGACAAGTAAGGTATAGGCCCTTAGGTCCAAACGCATTCATTTTTCTTCTGCATAAGAAACCGTAAAAATAAATCGCTTGAATAAATTTACCTATCCGATCCATTTTGGTCCCTAGTATCTTCCGGATACACTCCCGCAGCGGCCAAACATCTTCCCATCTGAGCGTAAAAATTAGCACATATAGAAAAAAAGGGGAATAGAGCTAATTAAACCCAAGT